GGTATACAAATAGTAATTCTTATAACTTGCGTATGTGTTGAGCGTTGATTGCAACACAGGTCACTGCAGTGATGACACAAGAAAATGTATTTGTTTCGGTTTCCGTTGCAGCACCTCCCTCATGTTGTCCCTGATCCTGGCCTTCATCATGGCGTTAGCGTTCCTCTCGGCTTACCTACTGAGCAGGTTCAAGACGGCCATTGTTGCATTCACCATGAAACTCTTAACGACAGCCTTCCGGCCAATGACGGCCGAAGATTATAAGACGCATGTTTTCATTGGCTACGGGGATGACGACTGCCACTTTGTGCGGTATACGTTAGGAAGGTAAACACTACTGCATAAAATCTTCAATCGTATATTTTCATCTTAAATATAATGTTTAATCTGACAAAGAAAATTAATCTCAAAGTTATGGTAAAACAGAAATAAATTAATAATAGTTATGAGCTTTGCAGAGCAAATTATTGAATTTAAAAACACTTCATTATCCATTTTCATTCAAACTTGCCATATGATTTAGCATCATGCTAAAGGTTTTCAACATACTAGTCCACATGGTCCCTTATCCTAGACTAAATTTTCCCTAATCCTAGTTTAAATAGTCCCTTATTCTAGACCAAATTATCCCTAATCCTAGTTCAAATGGTCCCTAGTCCTAGACCAAATTATCCTTAATTCTAGATCAAATGGTTCCTAATTCTAGGCCTACTGTTTCTAATCCTAGGCCAAATGATCACGAGTCCTAGACCAAATTGTCCTTAATTCTAGATCAAATGGTCCCTAATGTTAGCCTAAAGTCCCTAATCCTATATAAAATGGTCCCTAATTCTAGGCCTAATGTCGCTAGTCCTAGGCCAAATAATCCCTAATCGTAGACCAAATGGTCCCTAATCATAGGCCAAATGGTATATTTGTCAAAGCTCATATATGGCTGGCTTAATCTACGATTGTTTCATGAAATATAGCTGTCCATATAAACAAACTTGATTCGCTGTCCATGTAAACTAACATGGCTTTTCTGTCCATATAACCAAACTTGACTCGCTCTCCATGTAAACTAACATGACTTTTTCTGTCCAGATTAACTCAAATAACATTGCTGTCCAGATAATCTAACCGGAATTCTATCATCAGATATCTAGAGCACGACCTCGGCGTGACCACGTTCATCCACCAGCGGGACCTGGGACCAGGCTACACCGACCAACAGCTCTTTGAGGCCATCAGAGACAGCTGGAGAATCCTTCTGGTGATCACCACCAACTTCCTCCTCCACTACGACCAGGCCACCATCGTCATGAAGGTTTGAGATCCAGTGAACATTGTCTCTGCTTGTGCTAATGCTTTCTATACAAATGTCTTTGAAATGTCTGTGCTTAACGGAAACGCTTCTTTAAGGCATAGACATTTAAAACACATTTGTATAGTAAACTTGTCTTTAAATGGGTAAATATTAAAAAGATGTGGTGGATCACTCAGTGTATATCGTATGGAATCGCGACTCAGAAATGGGAACATGCTACACATATGATAGTTTTAGACAGACGCCTTAAAGATAATTGCCTAAACAATTTATGCAATAGTTTTCTATGTTTAACATCTCCAGATATTACATTGGTGATGTATTTCAATCTTTATAATGTGTGTGTTTATTTATTTAATATCCTCACCTCCCCCACCACATCCCCCCCCACAGTACGCCAGCCACTCGGTGACGTCCATGAACCATGACCGCGTCCTGGTCCTCGTCCAGCAGACCCAGGTCAAGAACATCCCGGACTACTTGTTCGACGTCCTGGACGACACCAGGATCATTGTCGTCCGGGATCTGGACCAGACCTTGACCTACGAGCAGCGGCAGGGCATCCGCGATTGTTTGAGGTCACCGTGACACGCGACCCTCGCTGAGTGAAGGGCGCGTGCTGACCTCACGTGGGACCTGATGGAGGACAAACAGTATGAGAACCTTACGATGTGTAAACGTATAAAAACGGTGGCAGTGTGTCAGCAATTAAGAGGGGCGCTGACGTAACCAGTTTATGCTGCTGATGACGTCACACACACATAAATATACTGTATATATGTATATATCCTTTCTTCCCGATGTTGGAGTAAGTCTACCCACCTGACAATTCAGCGGTCCTCAACGGGAAATTAATTTTAATTTTAATTGAATGCGGACCTCGAAAGCTGATAATCATACCTGACGCGGTAGCGAAGGGGCTAGCTACTGGTAGCAGAGAGGTTCATTGAGTACAGATGGGTCCTTAACGAAGACCGCCTGGTGCGAAAAGATTGAGAACCTCCGTGATAAAAATTCTCAGAAACTATCACTGCCTCTCCATGAGTGGCATTCAGATTGTATGAAATGACATGAGAGTTTGTCATGAAATCGATGCTTTAAACTAAGTGACAATACAATCTATATCAACTATTGTGACAATACAATCTATTTCTCTTATTGTGACAATACAATCTCTTTCAACTATTGTGACAATACAATCTATATCTACTATAGTGTCAACACAATTTATATCAACTATTGTGACAATACAATCTATATCAACTATTGTGACAATACAATCTATATCAACTATTGTGACAATACAATCTATATCAACTATTGTGACAATATAATCTACATCAACTATTGTGACAATACAATCTATATCAACTATTGTGACAACACAATTTATATCAACTATTGTGACAATACAATCTATATCAACTATTGTGACAACACAATTTATATCAACTATTGTGACAATACAATCTATGTCAACTATCGTGACAATACACTCTATATCAACTATTGTGACAATACAATCTATATCAACTATTGTGACAATACAATCTATATCAACTATTGTGACAATACAATCTATATCAACTATTGTGACAATGGTGTAACTGTCTATGAGTTCCGTATAAGATTTGGTGACATAAAACAAACATGACGTCATGTCTAGCTTAATACTAAAAAATGGTTGGTCTTGAAAATACATGCATATTATTGCAACCATCTTGTTGTATGTTTTTCTTTATGGACACTTAAACACATTTTAGTATATAATTGCAACTGTCTTGGTGTATGTTGTATTTATATATCAGTGTACGATCACCACACTGTGTTTGTTTTTTTAGTGTCATAGATCATTTGTTCTTCACACACTGTAGCAAAAACATGTTTACTTGACCACAGTGGCGTAGGAAGGGGGGGGGGTGCGACCGGGTGGTCCGTCTCGGGGGGGGGGGGGTTTTTTTTTATATTGTGGGGGGGGCTTTTTGGCCCACCAGCAGGTTTTTCTCTTGGAAGGGGGGGGGCCAAAATTTTCGTCCCACCCCAGGTGGCGCTAACCTTAGCTACTAGCCATACGCTACTAGCTTATCGCAGCTGTGGATAGTTCTATCCGTTCCCAAGCTTGGGGCAACGGGAAACCACGTTGACCGCTGAACTCACGGGATGAGGTGCATACTCTCTAATAATGATGCCAGATGCTCGGAATTTGAGGATTCTCGTGGCCACTTGGACCATGCACCGTCCTAGTTTTGACAGTGTTTTAAAGCCTATGATCTGTGTCCGTTATTTGGTATGTCAGCAAAAAAATAGTGTATCAATTATTCCCACAGTTCTGGGTTTCATTTAATCATGATTGCCAAGCATTCAGAGGAGGGGACAATGTGGTGGACCACGTTTTTTTTTTTTTGAAACTCATTGACGTAGACATGAGTTCTTTTAAGTGCATTTGGGTGCGAACGATTTAGCGCGCATCGCGGTGCGCAATCGGGGGATGAACAACTCCCACTCGGGATATTATATCATAAGATTGTTTGGTAAATTCTATTTTAAAAAAAAAGACAAGACGGGGACTAGCTAATTACTGGAAACCTAATTATTGTATTTACTTCTCGGTGTATAATTCACACACTAGTCCTTGTGTTTAGTCAGATTCATTGGCGTACATAGGGTTATTGCCACCCGGGGCGGGCCAAGGTTTTGCCCACCCCCACCCTTTTCACTGCATTTGGGACAAAAATGACACCCCTCCATGTAAAGAAAAAAAAAGTACGCCCGGGGGGGGGTGGACCACACCCCCCTCCGCACCCCCTTCCTACGCCAATGATAAGATTTCAGTGCCCAGTAAACCCCCCCCCCCCCCCCCCCCTTAATACTTTTTTGTGTCTATAATTAAATTTCAGTTTTTAAAACATACACCAAAGTTAACATGTGTAACGCCTTCTACCTGGTTATTTGGGTATAAGTGTGTAGCATGACCCCCACAACCTTGACCCGGTTTGACCTCTCATACCTACGTGAGAATAAGTCCCGAGTTTACCTTATCTCCCCCCCCCACACACACACACAACACCCCATCCACCCACCCACCTCTCCCCCACGCCCCACCTCGCGCGCACACAACAAGCTCGGCCGTGTTACACAATCGTTACAAACAACATGTTGTTTGTGTGTGCGTGTGTGTGCATGTGTGTGTTTGTGCGTGTGTGGGGAGACAGCTGTGTTATCTAAGAAAAAAGGCTGCGCAAATTGGTTGATTGGTCGCGGTCAATCCTGAGAAGGCCAGGTTTGTGCTGTCAGAGACTCTCTCACACAGCAGCCTTCAAGTTTGGTGTATATGTGTGTGAGTTATTGCATTGGTGAGTGAGCTGTGCATTCCCCAGGAGTACCTACACGACTGTCACACATGTGAGTGATTTATTCCCAGGAAAACCTATTCAACAGCCACACATATAACTGCTTCTTTCGCAGAACTAGCTACTCGACCGTCACACATTATGTAAGTGCCTCATTACCAGGAATACCTGTTCGACTGTCACACCTATAACTGCTTCATTCCCAAGAGTATCTACTCGACGGTCACACATGTGTTTCATTCCCAGGAATACCCACTCGACTATCACACACGTCAACTCCTCGGTCTGTATATGACGTCATACGCGTCATCATTTACCCCATCCCCACCTCCCAATTGTCTTCCCCGCCCCCGAACACCGGGTCCTCTAGACCAGTGTTTCCCAAACTTACCACATCTTTGTACCCCTGTCTATAATTTTATTAACACTGAGTACCCTTCGTTAAAAATACATTGCATATGCTTTAATAACAATTTAAAAAAAAAAAAAATTTTTTTTTTTTTCTTTTTATTTCGTACCACCAATAAACTCTTCCCGCCCCCCTCCCCCCCCCCCGGGTACACGTACCACACGTTTGGGAAACACTGTCCGAGGGAATGCTAACACCGACGCAGACAGCTCTGGTGTTCTGTAGATCAAGTATTGCCTTTCCATTGTTGGCTCCTTGTTAGAGAGAGAGGAAAAACGAGGCATGTCATTTTTAAACCCCCTTTTTTTTTTACCGCTATAGCAAGAAAATGGTTTAAAGAAGTCACGTCAGGGACAGCGAAGGTTAAGGTAACATTACAGGTCCTTGACCTTGTACAAAACCACACACAAAAAAAAAAAGGTGGACCTGACCTTGTTGTTGGGAAGATAAGAAAGATTGAAACCAAGTCATTGCGGACAGTCCCGCTGTAGACCGCAATAAACAGTTTAATGTGATATTGATTACCTTTGTGTATTTCTAACTATCGGACATCAAATGGAAATGGAGGGGTGGGGGGAGAGTGGTCTGTGATATGCAGAGGCGAATCAGGATAAGGGGCGTTGAAAGGGGTGGAGGGAGGTCCACCCCTGGCGGAACTTTAGTCTTAATATTGATGGGTTGGTATTTTTGCCAGCGGCAGGGGATTTGGGGGGAGGGTTCGTGGAAAGTGTAGCAGCATTCTTGGTCCGCCGCTGATAGCACCAACACTGTTTAGCCACTGGTACAGTACAGAACATCCCTGACTTCACTAACACTGAGCAACCACTGGTACAGTACAGAACATCCCTGACTTCACTAACACTGAGCAACCACTGGTACAGTACAGAACGCCCCTGACTTCACTAACAACGGGGCAACCACTGGTACAGTACAGAACGCACCTGACTTCGCTAACAACGGGGCAACCACTGGTACAGTACAGAACGCACCTGACTTCGCTAACAACGGGACAACCACTGGTACAGTACAGAACGCACATGACTTCACTAACAACGGGGCAACCACAAGTACAGAACGCACCTGACTTCGCTAACAACGGGGCAACCACTGGTACAGTACAGAACGCACCTGACTTCGCTAACAACGGGGCAACCACTGGTACAGTACAGAACGCACCTGACTTCACTAACAACGGGGCAACCACTGGTACAGTACAGAACATCTCTGACTTCACTAACACTGAGCAACCACTGGTACAGTACAGAACATCTCTGACTTCACTAACACTGAGCAACCACTGGTACAGTACAGAACGCACCTGACTTCGCTAACAACGGGGCAACCACTGGTACAGTACAGAACGCACCTGACTTCACTAACACTGTTTAGCCACTGGTACAGTACAGAACATCTCTGACTTCACTAACACTGAGCAACCACTGGTACAGTACAGAACATCCGTGACTTCACTAACACTGAGCAACCACTGGTACAGTACAGAACATCTCTGACTTCACTAACACTGAGCAACCACTGGTACAGTACAGAACATCCCTGACTTTACTAACACAGTTTAGCCACTGGTACAGTACAGAACATCCCTGACTTTACTAACACAGTTTAGCCACTGGTACAGTACAGAACGTCATTGACTGCACACAGACGACGGTATGATTGTGTTTATCAGAACTATGTCGATTGTGATAGAATTCTTTAAATTGTAGTCTTCGGTGGCAATCATGTTGACTTGCATGTGTAGTGCGATTCTCTTGTCATCGCTCAGTATATCTGCACTGAGTGTGGTGTCTATCTACTCTGAGTGTGATGCATGTCTACATTGAGTGTGGTACCTATCTACATTGAGTGTGGTACCTACCTATTTTGAGTGTGGTACTATTTACTTCCAGTGTGGTACATATTACTTGGATTGTAGCACATATCTGCTTAAGTGTGGTACTATCTACTTTGAGCGTGGCGCCTATCTACTTTGAGTGTAGTACCTATCTACTTTCAAGTGTGGTACCTACCTAGTTTAGTTTTGAGTTTGGTACATATCTACATTGAGTTTGGTACATATCTACATTGAGTTTGGTACATATCTACTTTGTGTTTGGTACATATCTACATTGAGTTTGGTACATATCTACATTGAGTTTGGTACATATCTACTTTGTGTTTGGTACATATCTACATTGAGTTTGGTACATATCTAC